GATCTTCTGCTAGAACGTGGAATAATACGCTGCCATATGTTTTGTCTTTTGTGCATGTGGTGAGTAGAGGCCCACGACCTGTCTGCTTTCAAATGTCAAGGCCTGGAACCTTCCCGAATTTCCATTGGTTTGCTGCTGCTTGGGCCTTCGAGTCATGACTTTTCAATTTTGGCATATGATTTTGACTGTGGACTGTGACTCCTGCCACTAGGACACGAATCTGGCCTGTGGAACTGCCCTTTACTCGTGGGATGTGACTCTTCAATATGACTTGTCATTATGAAACGTGATTTTTGCCCCGAAGATGTGACTATTTGTTGGGTGCCTGTTGGACTTGACTGCTAAGGTACCCGACTATGACCTTTTTGAAATTGACTCCTTTCTTGGCGAGGGCCTCTGGCCCTGAGACCCGAATTTGGGGTCTGAATCGTGGAAGGCCTTTCAGCATGTGGTGAGTAGAGGCCCTTAGAGCCATTGCATGTATTCCTAAGAAAAAAAAAACGAGAAAAAACAAAAGATAAATGAGAAAACAAAAGAAAAACGAGAAAACAAAAGGCAAACGAGAAACAAAAGAAAAACGAGAGAACACAGAATTAGTGACCCATAACTGTGATGCACAAAAAAACGAGAAAAAACAAAAGAAATATGAGAAACCAAAAAAAGAACGAGAAAACAAAAGACAAACGAGAAACAAAAGAAAAACGAGAAAACAGAGAATTAGTGACCCATAATTGTGATGCACAAACAATCATTTTGATTAGTCATCATCAAGTTATATTTCATGACCTCAATCATCCACTCTGACATCCTAAATCATCCTAAATGATCCTCAATCATCCCAAATTATCATAAATTATCATAAATTATCATAAATTGTCAATCATCAATGTATTCCCATTATAAGGGTAGGACCCCACAGGACGGCGGCAAACGGTTTCGGAAGTCGCAACTTCCAGCCGACTGGCCACGACCAACGGAAACGATGAAACGTAGGGGACCCCACTGCCGCCACAAAATGTTGCTCTGGAGTCGGCATCGGTTATCCAAAAAGGAAGTTTTGGAAAATATTTCCTTTTTGGGAAAGAACGGGGCTGTTGAGGGTATTCCAGGTCCATTGGCGGTGGTTGTAATGGAAGGGCTGTTATGGATAGTGGGCGACCGTGCGGCATTTCCTGCACGGCACCGATTTGGAGGCGGACAACATATCTTCCCCGGTGCCGGGTTCCAGGCCGTTGCACCGTACATTGTGATCCGGGGAGTCGTCCACCGCTTCACCGTAACAGAGGTGTATAGCTGCTAATGCCATACTCATTCCCTTTGAAGCTTTCGAGCGCATCATCATCGACACCTCACACGTGGACGCCCGACGCTCCCCTGCACATTCAGCAGACGAAGCACATGACTCGTTGCGCCATAGTCATTGACGTAGGTGGGGTTGACGTTGGTGTCGGAAGACAACATTTTCCAAAGTTGTTCCTCTTCAAGTTGTTCTTGCAAGCGGTATCCATGCACACATGGACAGCGGAGGAGCACACCAGCGACAACGTAATGGAGGACAGGAAGTCGATGATGACGTGTTGTTCATCACCATCATGGCGATCATGCAGTGGATGAACAGTCAGAATGCAGTAGTCCTGGTTGTGCTGCAGGCTGCAACCTCAATGCCTGTATTCAACGCCGACTTGCAACAGTGCTCGGTACTTCTAGCAGGTTGTGTTTGCCATAGCATGGTTGTGAATTGGCTGGCGATGAGGAATATGGAGAGGGTGATGGAGAACGGAAGGAGGATTTGGGTGTTGGAGCGGAGCGGGGGGGTTTGGAAGGACCTGCAGCGTGTGGGCCACCGTCATGACAAGGTGTTCGTGAGATTCTGCAGGCTGCCACGTCCACTCTTCCATGAAGTGCTTCAGCGCATCGGTCCGTTGATACAGCGCCAGACCACGAATTGGAGACAGAGTTTGTCGACGGAGCAAAAATTTGCATGTGCCCTCATCAGGTGGGCGATTAGTGGTAACTACAGGCAGTCAGGTCACAGGCTGGGCATGAGTCTTATGAGTGCGCTGTGAAGCAACAAGAATGTGGTCGAAGCTATCGGCAGGGAATACCCTCATGTCATCTTTTTTCCACAGGGACGCCGTTTAAAGGACTGCATGAATCATTTTGAACGCAAAGGCTTCCCTGGGTGTGTGGGTGCTATTGACTGTACCCATTTGTACATCGAAAAGCCCAGGAATGAACGTCCGGAGTGCTACTTCGATCGCACAAGACAATTCTCCATTGTAGCACAAGTCGTTTGCGACCATGAGTGCCGAATTTCTGACGTTTATGTCAGGAGCCCGGGATCTGTCCACGACTCTCGCTTGCAGCGAATGTCCCGTCTTTGCGTTCAATGTGAGAGCGGCGAAGGTGTGTTTTCCAGGGAGCCTACGTTGTTGCAGGACGACACATCTATTGCACCCTACTTGTTGGGAGATACGGGCTTTCCCTTGCTCGACTGGTCGATGACTCCCCATAGCACGGGCAGGGATCGCACCCCCGCGCAGGTCACATTCGATGATGTCCACTCAATGGCGAGGAATGTCATTGAGCGCACATTCGGGATTTTGGACGACAACAAATCGGGAATTTAAAGACCATTTGCTGGAAGTTCATGGCGGTGTGCATCTTGCATAATTTGCTCATCGACTACAAAGTCGATTTGCAGGACATGATGGCATCAGACGACGACCCTGACGATGACAGCAGCGATGACGACAATCGTCCTCACAGGCGACGTCCGCAAGTTCCACGCAATGCGAGGGATGTGACGAATGATGACGACGTTTGCATCAACTTCGTGGGTCTAACGAGCGTGCAGCGGATCAGAGCCAGATTGGTTGAACACGTCGGCCATCATGTTCGTGTACATGGTCCGCCAGATCCTGGTCCTTGGCGGGCATGAACGCGACACAAAGAGAGAGAGAGAGAGAGAGAGAGAGAGAGAGAGAGAGAGAGAGAGAGAGAGAGAGAGAGAGAGAGAGTAGATGACATATTTTTTTAGTGCAACTCGGGCATATGGCTACTTGTCCATGTTATGAACTCTCTCTCTCTCTCTCTCTCTCTCTCTCTCTCTCTCTCTCTCTCTCTCTCTCTCTCTCTCTCTCTCTCTCTCATATGTGTTAATCATACAAAGATCGTATGTATTCACGCATCTTGTTCGATCCTTCCGACTGCCGATGCATGAACCCATGAAACGAGAAGGACGCATGATCGGAGGGGGGGGGGGGGAAATCTCCCCCAAACAAACAACTTCCAAAGTCCATGCTTAAAAAATGACACAAGTACACGAATGCACATGCATGTTCCAACAATTTGTAACCCGTACTTTGTAGTTTTCATCTTCTATTTCTCATAATTTCTGTTTTTCAAAAATGTTCACTGACTATTAAAAGTTATGATTGTCCGGGGAGATTGATTGATTGATTGAATGAATGGTTGATTGATTCATTCATTCATCGATTGATTATTGGGGTCGGGCTGGCCCTTCCCCGTGGGGCAAAATCAATCAATCAATGAAGCAATCCATGGTTGTTGTTTTCAATCAATCAACGAACCAATTGATCAATCAATCAACGAACCAATCAATCAATCATTTGACGAACCAATCAATCCATCAACAATCTAGTCAATCCTCGTCAATCAATCCATGAAGCAACCTATCAATCAATGTATCAGTGACGTTGGGTTTCGTTTGTGCGTACTGTTTTCAATATCGAGATTGGATTCATAGTTCGATTGGTTGAATGATTGAATGTTTTCATCATCGAATGATACATTGATTGATCGATTGATCGAGGTCGCTCTTCCCGTAAGGCAAATCCCATTCACCACTGAACCGATCTATTAATCGATCTATATGTGACAAAGCCACATGCGAACACACACAAAGCCACATGCACACACACACACACACACACACACACACACACACACACACAAACCATGGTCATCATTTCTGCACATACAACCATGAAAAATATACAAGCACGGAGGGCGAAATAAAAACCATGAACAATAGAGAAGAACAAAAGAAAACGAAAAAAAAAAAAAAAATGCACGTATAGTGAGTCCCGCCATCCAAATGTAGAGGGGTTTTATTTGCAGAAGTGCAAATGAGGCGTTATGCCTCTCGAAATACAACAAGTTCAATTCCCATGTGGAACGCTGACGACGACAAAGCTCACAGCTCTCTCTCTCTCTCTCTCTCTCTCTCTCTCTCTCTNTCTCTCTCTCTCTCTCTCTCTCTCTCTCTCTCTCTATGTGCAACATCTCCGCCACCCCGCCCCGCCTCGGATATCTCCAGCATCTACAGGCTAGCGGTGCAATGGCGTGATGCAAACAACCTTCGCAAAAACTTTTGCTTCGGAATGGAGTTTCCCTGTGCCCTATATACCTGCATGCATGGAAAGGGACTCCCGGGGGAAGGCAAGCACTCCGTACAGGTCATCCACTGGAGTCGGGGAAGAAACTTAACGGATGAAACGACAAAAGAAAATGGAAAAAAAAAACCAAAATAATGGAAAAATTGAGAATACGAGAGCGGACTTCAAAATACCGAAACGAAGCAATAGGAAACAAAAAGCCCGCCCCTTTCCAGTTCCCCGCTCTTTACCTCCTTCACCCGTCGATATCCATCAATGAAGCATTTGAAAAACGGTCCCATCGAACCTCGATCTCAAGCGCCATATTGTGAAAACCACCGGTAGAAGTGCACAGACGCAGTGAACAAACTGCCGGTCCGACCCAATGGTCTGGGTGTGTGTGTGTGCACAGCCACACACACACACACACAACAACAACAACAACAACAACCCAACTGCAAACCATTCCCTCACTTGCTTGAGGGATTCATGTCGTCGCCCCTGTCCTCACGTCGTCCACCTCCTCCTCCCACACGCCTCGCCATGACCTCGACCAGAAGCTGCAGCACAGCGTTACCGTCCTTCATTGCACTGGCTGCCACACCGATTTGAGTGGCCATTTGCTGTGCACCTTCTGTATTGGCTCTTGCAAGAGTCCCCGCCGCATTCCCGAGATTCCCGAGACCATCACAGAGAGCGCGCGTGGAGTCTTCCATGGAAAACCACAAACCGGATCTCGCAGAGCCACACCCTTCATCCGCTGATGTTTTCCCTTTTACTGTCCGGCGGGACTTCCTGCTGCTTTCGGAATCTTCCACCAGGCCGGCGGGGGAGGTTCCCTTCTCCGAGCCCCCGCTATCTGCACCAGGCAACGTGGACGACTCCAATGTGTTGTCGCACATGCTTGACCTTTTCCCCTGCACCCATGCCATCTCGTCCCACAACTCTTCCTCAAAAAGGAACGTCAAACCCTCCCTCTTCTTGTCCTCGACCGACATGTCCCAGAATGTCAGCTTGCCAGACCCACCGCACTTGTCGTTGATCTCCATGTACTTGTTCTGCAAGTCAGCCCATTTCTTCCGCACGTCCTTCGCTGATCGGTGGTACCCATCCTCCTTCATCCGCCTCGCCACCCAATCATTCCTCAACGATCGCCGTTGGTGTTTTTATCTTGGTTGGGCGGCCACCATCATAGCGTCATCCTCTCGCATGTATTTCGCGAGTGCCAGGCGCTCCTCCAAAGACCACACTTCTTCTTTTGCTTCCCTCCTTCGCTGTCGTCCTCAGGATCGCCATCGCCGGTCGGGGACTGAGGTGCACCTTGCCAGTCGGCACGTGCCTTTCGCCCGATCGCCCGTCCCCTCGTGTTTGAAGGGCCGGAGGTCGCAGGAGCCTGTGCGTCATAGGGGGCGGGTGCGCCCTTGCCACACTGCGAAGAGGGAATGGCTTCAGCATCTGGGGCATCGCATGACATGCTCACCAGATGCTCGGACATCGTCGAGGAATACCCGTCCGCTGAAGGGCTGAAGCCGTGCGTCGGAGTCGTGTCCGCAAGCATGTATGGAGGTGCATGCGACACGGCCCTACCTCCCTCGTCAAACCTCGGTCGCTCGAAGTAACCGGCCATTCCATAGTCGTGGCAGTTACGCTGTTCATAAAACGTCGCCAGCCCGGACATTGCCGGATACTTTGTTGTCGAGTGCTGGACCCCCCCTGCCAAACTTGCAACTGTAGACGACAACAACGATGGAGGAAGGGGGGTGTATCTCATAGAAGGCGAGCACCCGAGCTCCATTGGTTCATGATTCCAAACCGGGGCTGGCCTATAACAGCCCAGGTATGAAGCCGCTGGCCGCATGTTGCCGATGTCCGAAGGAGACGATGACAAGCACCCGGCCAGCTGACTCTCGAATTGTCTGCTATGTTGTCGATCACCACCACCCCTACGTTGTTGCGGATCGGCCGTGCTCATACGGTTTTGTGACCACTGACGACAACTGGCGTCATCTTCACCCTCCATCTCCCTATCCAGCAACCTTTCCTCACACCCAATTGTACACACCTGTTTATCTATCTATCTATCTATCTATCTATCTATCTATCTATCTATCTATCTATCTATCTATCTATCTATCTATTTGTTTGTCTATCTATCTATCTATCTATCTATCTATCTATCTATCTATCTATCTATCTATTTATTTATCTATCTATTTGTCTATCTAGCTATCTATGTATGTATGCAACTTTGTATTCCTTGACACATCTGTCTGTGCATGTGGATCTCTCTCTCTCTCTCTCTCTCTCTCTCTCTCTCTCTCTCTCTCTCTCTCTCTCTCTCTCTCTCTCTCTCTCTCTCTCTCTCTCTCT